GTACCTACGTTACCCCGTACCTACGTCACTCCGTACCTACGTCACTCTGTACCAACGTCACCCCGTACCTACGTCACCCCGTACCTATGCTACCCCGTACCTACGTTATCCCGTACCTATGTCACCACGTACCTACGTCACCCCGTACCTACTTTACCCCGTGCCTATGTTACTCCGTACCTACGTCACTCTGTACCTACACCATCCAGTACCTATGTCACTCCGTACCTACGTCACCCCGTACCTACGTCACTCCGTACCAACGTCACCCCGTACCTACGTCACTCCGTACCTACGTCACCCCGTACCTACCTACGTCACTCCATACCAACGTCACCCCGTACCTATGTTACCCCGTACCTATGTTACCCTGTACCTTTGTCACCCTGTACCTATGTTACCACTGCAGCAGAGGCTCCGCTGAACCCCTGAGACCGACTCATCGAACCCCTAGGGTTTGATAGAACCCAGGTTAAGAACTACTGTGTTTCACACACACACACACACACACACACACACACACACACACACACACACACACAAGGAGCATGATACAGGTGTGCAACACTGCATGTGTCAGGGGATAATTGTTTTGTTAGCCAACTTAAATTTAACAGAAGGTAATTGATCCAACGACAGTTTCCTTCCTTAGCCAAACAGTAATCAGCTAAATAAAAAGTTAGCTCTGATGCTAGCTGATTAGCAGAACTGTCCCCACCACTGCATATTTCGCATTAAGATTTTACAGGTGAAAACATGTTCCACTTGTGTCGTTTGTGTTTTTGTTTCAAATTCACACGAGAACACGGGCAGAATGGATTCACAAATGTCAAATAATAACATTTTTCACAAACAAAAATGTACTTTTCCACATGAAGTGTTTATGTTTGTTTCACGTTTTTTACACAGAAAATATGAGTAAAACATGTTTTCCACACATCAGATGTCTTCTGGTGTTTCTCTATCCCCGTAACACTGACATGGCTTTTAAGGGAAAAATAAAAGCATGTTGTGGGAATAACCTTTGTTGTGTTGCTGCTGCCAAAAACAAAAATGAAATAAAAAAAAGGAAATGCCTCAGTAATTGTGTGTCGCTCTGAGAGCAAAAAAAAATAAAAATAAAAAAACTACAAAAAAACAGCTTGGCAGAAAGGATAAAAGGGGAGGAAGATGCTTTTGGCATTAAGAACAACAAATCCTTCCCTCCTGTTTGGTTTGCTTTTGAAAGTAGTAGGATGGAATAAATAAGACGGTTCATCAGGAAGACACTCAATGATGAAATGATGGTGAAAATCTGACATGGTGGGCATAACTCTACCTATTCTCCTTACAGCAGTGATGGCCCTTTGGATCACTTTTTATTTATAAGGAATCCATGGATGTACACACAACTGGATCACTTTGCTTTGAATGGGAACTAAAACAATCCTCATWCGATCCATGGATAACATCTGGCCCAGTTCTGGCCCACACAATACTCCCAACACTTTAACATAACACTCAGCTCGGATACAGCAAAGAATGAYGACCCTTTGATGGCCCAGATGTGGTCCATGCATGGGGCCAGCATTGCATAAACCAAACATCAACCAGGCCAGTTGTGGCTTGTCATCTTAAAAACAGTGCTGTGCCAGACCTGACCCACTGCCGTTTGAAAAACCACTTGTTATGCCAGAAGTCAGTCAGGAGCGTCATCTTGACACCAGATCTGGCCCACACCTGTCTGCTACGTGGGTTGTTTGTATTCTAACCAGAATTTTTACAGTTTAAATGTACAGGAAAACAGTAGGACACAGATTTTAGAGACAATAGTTAACATATATTCTTGTATTACTGAAAAAAGACCCCAAAACAAAGGCCCTAATGACCCTCAGGAGAGAGGAATAAGAATAATCTGCATAAAYGCAGCATCTCATCCCGTTTAAAGCTGAAAACAAAAGGAACCAGGATCATGTCTTACCTTAGTCAGCTGTAAGTTCACCCATTTTGTGAAAGTCTTCTTCTGAACATCTTCTCTCTCATCTGCAGGGGAAACAATWAGATCCAATCAGGAAAAGAGGCACGCATTAGGTTAAAAAGTAAGCATTTCTTGCAACAGTTGTGTTGGAGCTGGTAAACAGGTAGAACATGCAGGACGATGGACCTCCAGGACCAGGACTGGACACCCCTGCCCTACACCATCAAGACAAATTTCAACTTATAAAAACAAATATTAAAAAACCCATACAGAGTTAACTCTCTCTCTCTCTCTATCAAACGGACTGAACTCTTAACTCCATTGAACTGTGACTCAGTGTTTTTTTTATTTCAGAGCAGCTCAGTACACAGAAAAGACCCAGAAGTGGTGCTTATCGTGATAAGGGGCTCTTCTGATCTTGCTTAGGGCTAATTTCATCCTCATTATATCAATCAGAGCCTCACTTACAAGTCTTCACTCACTGTTTGTCAGCCTCACAGGGTGAACCAGGATCTGTAAAGACCTATTACCATGAGTCCTGACAGAGTTAAGGCTGGTTTATACTGAGTCACACGTCTTGTTCCCCCTGCTGAGAGACAAAAAATTGCTCAACTTCTGTCTGCTCTCCTGCTGCTGTCCGTGGTGACAGCTGTCGTGCATTGTCCCCGTCAAAACTGTGAGATGTGAACTTTGCAGCTTGGTGTGGTTGGTTAGAACTTTGTGGGTGTGTTTGTTCATGAGGAGCACTGAGGGGCTGGACCAGAGCAGATCTTCTTTTTGCAAGTTATTTCTTTTAAAATGATTTTTTTTGTCTGAAGCCAGTTGTTAAAAGAGCTATAAAAGCAGCTGGTTTGATCCCATTAAACGTGACCGGATGTTTACGTGAGGTCTCTTTTTCATCACCACAGTTTACAAAAAAAAATGTTTTCCTCCGCAGACTCTTCACCTAACACAACACTGATCACTGAGTGGACAAAAAACACACAATATCCATCCATCATTATTGTTGTTTATATACATATATGAGCCATGGGAGGWTCTATGATAATTTATGGCCAGCTGCGTCTTCAGCACGTTTCTACACGGTCAGGAAAAAGATGTGTCTCACGTCATATTGAAGTATAATCCAAGCTTTAATCAAACATAAATAAGTTCACTACAACCATCACACCAAGACAAAACCACAATCTTAAAGGATGCTCACTATGGACCACTAACACTGTAGAAACAATATGTCAGAAGGTCCAAAATGGCTCAGTTTTGGCGCTACTAACTTTTAAATTAACGAAACAAGAAAGCAAAAACAAATTTACAAGGTAAAACATAATAACACTTCTTTTACCTAATGCAGTGCTTCCTCTGTCATCATTGAGCAGTCCCAGACAGGCAAGGTCAACCTTAACGACTATTTTTTTAATTTTAAATAAAGATCATGTGTATCTGTTAGTGATTGTAGTTTGTGTAGGGAATGACTCTCAGCTACGACCTGACCAAAGTTTAGATTGACTACCTGTGGCAGCCATCCTGAACTGAGTTAGCTCAAAGTTAATCAGTTGTGGATGTGCAWCCAATGACTAAAATGTGTTTGAGATATTTTGCTAACAAATGAACAAGGTTGACTATATTAGGTTTTTTCGGTGTACAATAATTACAGCATTTCACTTTGGCCTAAGTACCCATGTAGCAAAATTTTCCAGGCCCAGTTCTGGCCCACACAATGCTCCAACACTCGGCCCAGATACTGCAGAGRATGACAGCCCTTTGGTGGCCCACATGTGGTTTGCCATAGATGGTGCAAGCATGGGCCAGAACCATATAAATCAAACCATRACTGGGTCAGTTGTGGCATGYCATCTTAAAAACAGTGCCATTGTTGCCASASCTGGCCCACATCTGGTTGACAAACCACTTGCCATGCCAGCAGTGCYAGCTTGATACCAGATGGGTCTGGACTGCTCTGTAGATGTTTCTGGGCCCACTTCCTATAACAACAGATATCATAAAACACCATCATGCTGAAATCAGACTTCAGATGAAATATTCTGCTGGTTTAGCCAACAGGACTCCTGCTGCATGTTGTTTGTCTGAGAGTACGATATTACACCTACCAAGCTCTGACTAATGGAGCTGGTAATGAACCATCTCATTTAATTAAAGCGTTGCATGTTGAGAAGAAGTGCGCTGTAGTAAAACTCCACTCRCACATCTGAAAGTGCAGCTTTAAATAGAAAAGAACACACTGAGAGATAATGGTTTTAGCACTRGCAAACAAGTTCATCTAAAGCAGATGTCTACCTGCATGCAGTATGTGTCAGGCATATGACACACAACACCATGTTTTAATKCCATTTGTGCTAGGTGTGCATGTTGAGGATGACTCTCAGCTACTACCACACTGAGCTCAATATCTGTACAAATGACAGAGTAAACATATTTTTCTGTTATTAGATTTGCTGTAGTGRCCATTTTGAATTAGGCTAAGAGTTAATCAGACAGTTGTAAAATCTGCCTAATGGTTCAGGAGATATTATGCTAACACAGGTACAAACATTATTGCCAGCCTGCAACTGAAAGGAAGTGTTCATGATTGTGCATCAGACTAYAATCAATCAGACTGGATGATAAAACTGTTGAGCTGAGGTTCTTAAAATGGGTCTGTGATGAGTTGTAACATTAGACCTTATCTGATAAACATTCACTTCAACTATAAAACTAAAAACACTATATGCTGTTTAGATTTTATGAAGTTGTAAAATCTATTGCCACACAAATGTAACAATGTTATTCATGCCACAAAGCATTCTGGGTAAATGATATAAACTGGCTGCTTTGGTGCAAGCTTCATGACGCTTTAAGGTTAATATTGTACAATGTCTAACATGTTAAATGAAACCAGAGTGCGTTGACAGAAAGGTCAATGTAGAAATGACAGCCTGAAAATGACAAATATATACATTATATCCAGAGCTTATATAC